AATTTTTTTTAAATTTATATAAAGTTTTTAATTTTTAAAAATATATAATAAAGTTATATATGATCCAAAAACCTAAAAGCATAAGCTCTCGACTCCTACATGGCCCTGACTCAGCTTTTATCCTATCTTTTATCCCCCAAACAAACCAAAAACAAAAACAAAAGCAAAAAACCAAAAAGCAAAGAAATATGGCATACTACTACTCAATTTTCTTCATCATTTTTAATAAAAATCCAAAAATAACAAATAAAAAATAAAAAATAAAATGAAAAACCACACAAGTTCTATTCATTCTTCTTCCCTTGCCACCATCTCTCATTCCCCAAAACCGTCCAAAACTAGCTCAATTTGGATTCTCTTGCTAATCCAAGTGAACCCCAGAATTTTTTTTTTCTTTATTATCTTAACCTCTCGAACGCAAATTCTCTTTCTTGATACTGAATAGGTGCAGATATTCCTTACACTGTACAGAAAAATTTATAATTTTCGATCTTGTTCTTGTTCGACAAGGAATGGATTGATTTCTTGGGTCGATTAAATGGGAAGAAAAATCAGTATCCATTTGATTCTATGTCCGTCGGAATGAAGATTTTCGGTTTTGGGTTCTAATAGCGCCGCCGGTTCTTTGACGGGATCTACAGTATATGGTTCAGTTCACTCTCTGTAATTCTATTGATTCAAAGCTCTGACTTCTTTTTTTTTCTTTGGCTGTAGTTTATGTTTTTGTTGATTTTGTATTTGAACTTGTTCTTGGGTTTTACTGTCTTGAATTTGCGTGAATTGTTTTTGAGATAGTGAGAGAGAGAGATAGGAATATACAGAGAAAGGAAAAAACTTTAAAGTGGTTAATAGCAGTAATGGTCTCTGCAAATGATCCAATTGAATCCATTTTTAATTCGTTTCAAGTGGTGAAAGATGTTCTTTTGCCGCTTGAGTCGGGTATGAAGAAAGCAGCAAAAGATCTTGAAAGTTGCTGGGGAGGCTCTAACAAGAAGGGAAAGAATCTTGATTTCATTGCCCTATGGAATGGTGGTGATAAGAATCGTAAAGTGGAGACCTGTGGTATGAAGAAGAAGAGCAGCCAAAGTGCTAATAGTATTAAGAATGTGCAGTGTGAAAATAGTGATGAGAAAAAGAAAGGGTTGTTCATCAACTTTCCAATTATGTCTTTCATGGGAAGCTCACCAAATATGGGGAATGAACATAATGAGAACAAGGCTGAGGTGGTGAAAAAAGGTTGGAAAGAGATGGACGTGGAGAGAGATGAGGGATCCTGCATAAAGTGCTTACAGTTTGCGGTGACTTGGTCGTTGTTGTATAATGGTTTTGTCCAGGCTTTCCCAAGTCCATTTAAGTTGGGGAAGAAGAGATTTGGGAAAATAGGAAAGGAAGATAAAGAGCATTCAAATTTTTGTACTCATGGGTTGAAATCGAAGGTTACATGTGAGCTAAAGCAAAGGGAGTCAAGGGCTCAATTTGCTAATGGGGCCAAGAGTGATAGTTCAGGACATAAGGAAGGGAAACATGTCTCACTTGAATGTCTTGTAGGGTTTATATTTGATCACTTAACTCAAAATCTTCAAAAGTTTGATCAGCATGTGCAGGAAAATAATGAGAATCAGTGTAGTTGTTCACCAACACCATCTCCTCCCTCTCAATTTGATCATTTGAGGGCACTGAAGAGTATTTTTGAGGGTCGAAAAGCTGATGTTAATGGGTTTTTGGGAAATCTGAAATTTGCTAGGGTGGGAGGTGTGCCTTCAAGTATGGTTGGAGTTACTTCTTCAGTTAATGAAGAGGGCACTGCTGGTGTTAGCACTGAAAGTAGAGAAGAAACTGGGGGTAGTTCACCACAGAAGCTGGCCATTGGGATACTTAGCATTCCCCTATCGAATGTGGAGCGTTTAAAATCTACCTTATCCACTGTGTCACTGACAGAATTGATTGAGCTTCTGCCACAAGTGGGGCGATCCTCTAAAGAACATCCAGATAAGAAGAAATTATTTTCTGTCCAGGATTTCTTTAGATACACAGAGTCAGAAGGTATGGTTTCTCATGCAGCTAGGCAATCAATTGGAGTTGCATAACTATTATAAGTTTTTTAACCCTCTTTATTACAGGAAGGAGGTTCTTCGAAGAACTGGATAGAGATGGGGATGGCCAAGTAACATTGGAAGATCTTGAAGTTGCAATGAGAAAAAGAAAATTGCCACGAAGATATGCCCGGGAATTTATGCGCCGCACCAGGAGTCATTTATTTTCAAAATCATTTGGCTGGAAACAGTTTTTGTCATTGATGGAGCAGAAGGAGCCAACTATTCTTCGAGCTTATACTTCTCTCTGTTTAAGCAAGTCTGGGACACTCCAGAAGAGTCAAATATTGGCATCACTTAAAAATGCAGGGCTTCCTGCAAACGAAGACAATGCTGTTGCTATGATGCGGTTCTTGAATGCAGACACGGAAGAATCTATTTCATATGGTCATTTCCGTAATTTTATGCTTCTGCTGCCCTCTGATAGACTACAAGATGATCCTAGGTAAGAATGATTTTCGCATTTAATCACATATTGAAATCTCAAACAAATGCCATGAATAGGTGTTCTTGAACATTGTACAAAGTTTTGACAGGGTAAAAACCTGAAGTAGCAATAATATATATAAATTACACACTTGTAAGCCTTACATAAATAGATTATCAGCTGTTGATTTTACAATCCAGCGGTTGATAAGATGATGCTATATTTAGTAATATCATCTCAACCATTGGATTGTAAAATCAACTACTGACAATTCAGTAAGTGGATCCTATTTGATATATACAATATAAAGTAGGCTTCAAGTAGTGACTTCTTTATATATTGCATGCAGGAATATCTGGTTTGAAGCCGCAACTGTTGTAGCTGTTGCACCACCAGTGGAAATACCTGCTGAGAGTGTTCTTAAATCTGCATTGGCAGGGGGCCTTTCATGTGCACTTTCTACTTCTTTAATGCACCCAATTGATACTATAAAGGCAAATTCATCAGCTTAATAACTATTTGCTTTTTAATGCCATTTTAGCATCACTGTTATCTCCCTGTAATAAGAACCCACATTCATCACATCTTTTGTCTTAATGGACTCCTGTCACTTTAATATTTAGTATTTACTTGATGATGGGATTAGGATGGCACACGTATTTTGGCACATATGCTGAAAATATGTCATTTTAATATTCTGTGCCACATGTTTAATTGGACTTTTGCTAAATAGGCATTTGGCAGATAATACATGGTATGGTACTTGTTGGACTGATTTATGACCATTCATGAATAGCCTCGTGTCTCCTGTTTATCTGCTTTGCTTCAAATAATCTGATATTCATGTTCCAATCCCGTTTGTCTCCACTTTGGTTAAGTACCTTCTTGGCTGTAACGTTAAACCTTCCCCTTAAGCTACTTGCTGGTCATGTATTTGGATGTTTAAGGAGTAACAATGACAACGATAATAAACAACTATTTGTTGACATGAAGAGAACATATTAGTTACATATGCTCAGTGCCTCTTTTTGCAAAATACAAAAATTTTGCGGGAACTTATGACTAATGGGATGCTATGGAGTATATCAGATGCATACACTTCTTCACATTTAATGTTGCTATGATTATAAATATTTCCAGTTTTAGATTTGCAAGTTCATCTAGAAGGCCTTCTCATGGGGGTTTTTGTTTGTTTCTTTTGAATATCAGACTCGCGTGCAAGCATCAACATTGAGCTTTCCAGAGATTATTTCAAAGCTTCCACAAATAGGAGTTCGTGGTTTATATAGGGGTTCTATTCCTGCAATTGTTGGACAGTTTTCGAGGTTGTATTTCTTGTTTGTTTTCTTTTCTTTCCTTGTGCCTTTTTCTTTCTGGCATCATGTATGTCTGACTACTTGATTTTGAAATTGTAGCCATGGCCTGAGAACAGGAATATTTGAAGCAAGCAAGCTTGTATTGATAAATGTTGCTCCAACACTCCCAGATATCCAGGTAATGTTTAATATACTGTGAGGTTCTGATTCACGTCTTATGCTACAAAGCTTACATCCTTTTTCTTCATCCCATGTAAATGGATTTTTGTTATGGGGGGGAAAGATTGAGTCACAACTTGTTGTAAGATGTCCTCAAGTTGAGAGGATTAGACACACAGCTTCTATCCAAGCATGAGAAGTTCAACTTTCTTTGTTATCCTGTCTACCTGGTTTTTTTTTAGCACTTTTTAATCATAAGCGATTTCTCTCTCCTAGTTACTGTATTAACTTGAAGCACTAAGAAATGTGTTGGCATGTTATGTAGGTTCAATCGTTGGCATCATTCTGTAGTACATTTTTGGGGACAGCAGTGCGGATTCCATGCGAGGTACTAAAACAGCGTTTGCAGGCTGGCATTTTTGACAATGTTGGGGAAGCTATTGTTGGTACCTGGCATCAAGATGGTCTGAAGGGTTTTTTTCGTGGCACTGGTGCCACTCTTTGCCGTGAGGTGCCATTTTATGTTGCTGGCATGGGTCTATATGCTGAATCCAAAAAGGTAAAGATATTCATCTCAATGGTTGTAGTATTCTTTGTCCCATTCAAAGATATTCTTGTTAAGACTTTTATATTGCAGCATGTTAGTCTAATGACTGCTCATGTACTTAAAATGACTTGTAAGCTACTGAATATACTTTTGAATTTTTAGATCATCAAAAACTGAACAGTGATATTGAGTGAGCTAATCTCCTGAAGATGCCCCTGCAGGCAGTTTGCATAAACTGAAATCCTGTGGCGTGCATCTTTTAAATCTGCGTTGATAATGAAGATAACAAGTGAGGGAATATTGGGCATCACTTGGTTGCTTGTGATTGTCTCCTGTGTTGAAATGTGATTTGTTCAAATAGTTTAAACTTTTTCATCCTCTTGGTGCATTTGATGACACAGAGAGGACATGGCAAAATCCATGACTTTAGATGTTTTTGCTACTATCTTAAATATTAATTAACCTGTGGACTTCTGTATTTTATTGTAGATTGCCCAACAGCTTCTGGGACGGGAACTGGAACCATGGGAAACAATTGCAGTTGGAGCCTTATCTGGAGGGCTCGCTGCTGTTGTTACCACACCTTTTGATGTGATGAAAACTAGAATGATGACTGCTCCGCAAGGTAGAGCCTTGTCGATGTCAATGGTGGCATTTTCTATACTTCGTCATGAGGGGCCTCTCGGTCTGTTCAAAGGAGCGGTACCAAGGTTTTTCTGGATTGCTCCACTGGGGGCCATGAATTTTGCCGGCTATGAGCTGGCAAGGAAGGCCATGGTCAAGAATGAGGAAGCAGCTTGAGATCAACAGACTGAAAAGAAGTTGGCTAATTCCTGGTAAATAACGCCCTTCTCTTGGTAAAAATGTGATCCATAACAGCCCCTGGGGTATTACCTAGAAGCTGGGCAATTATGAACTGCAGAAAGTAAATGCACTTTTTCTGAAACTAGTACTCACGATGTGCTTCGGATTTCATCTGTGGACAACTCCACCGTTCTCTCCAAGGCATTCTAATTTCCATCACAGTTTTCACCCTTCGTTACCTTGAGCTTGGCTTTTGAACAATATTTGCTCTGCAGGGGAGAAATGTTCTTGGGGTAAATTTTGTATTTTTTGTCACAATTTGCAGAATTTGTGTACATCTACATCCTATGTGCAGTTGGTTCCCTCTTTCAATCTATACATTAGAGTTTCACTTAAAAAGCCTTTTATCATTATTTTGCACCTGATCAAAATCAGAAGTCAAGAACTCTTCAAAGGACACAATAACTTGCAAGGTACTACCCGTCACCTAGAGCTTGTTTGGTTTAAGGGGAATTGAGGAAGCGGCGGGGGGGGTGTACTTTTTTCATTCAATCAAAATTAGGACGTTAATGGAAATCATCTAATCAAGTAACAAAGTTTCAGACGGTACCTAAATTTAACTTGGCATAAAAATGAACTCTTGTTTTCCAACTTTGATCATCATCCATCGTGCTGTGAAAGACATCTTTCCCTTCTTAATGGTCTCGCAAATAAAGCCACATTTATTCATCAAACCATTCAAAAGAGAATCATTCCTACCTTAAATGTTAACAAGATGACAACTTTAAAAGAAGCATTGTCTTAATCTTTTCTGTCAAAGGACAGCAGGTTTCTCTACACAAAAAATAAGGAGGCTCATTCTTCAACCCCAGATCGACCACAGTTACACAATGGGTTTGAGAATTATTATCGTAACAACAGCAAAAGAAACACAACAAATTCAGAATTTCAGCCCGAGGCTGTGAAAAAGCTTCATGCTAAAATCCCAAGACAGTGTCAATAGCCCCAATAATCATTACGGATCTCATCATCAAATTTCTTTTTGAGCTCGGGGTGTTTCTCAAAGTACTCATCTGCAGTCATGGTGCTCAACTTTTTCTGTCCAACAAAAAACCAAAATAAAATTAACATAGTTGACTTCAAGAATATGTTGTAAATTACCCAACAAGGCAGGAAATTGCATTGTGCATTCTTCCCGAGTTACCTTCAGCTCTTGAACTTCAGCAATTTCTTTCTCCAAACGTTCTGACTCTTTCAAGGATTGCTCCTCTGCTTCTTTTAGCTCTACTAACTATAACCCATATAAGAAATAGCATCAGATGAAAAACTCTCAGAGAGAGAGAGGGAGGAAGGGGCTGAAAGTGAGAAGACAAGTCCTTACAAGTGCATCAAATTTAGGTCTGTATTCAGGAGTGACCGTGTCAACAAACTTTGGAATTTCTACACCTGCAGAAGGAAGTATATGAGTATGTTTAAGATGAAATATTGAACTCAGTGGTTAAGAAAAATAAAAACAGGAATTCATGACTGAAGACCTGAGTTTCAAGAAATTATTCATGTCCATCACCACTGATGACTAGAGTCAGACATCAAGATCAAAAATTACAAAACACTTAAAATTCAAAACATCAGAGAGCCATTCTTCCAAATCTACTCTAACTCTTCATTGGCATAACAAGGATGTTTACATTATACACCACAGATGCTTAGGATCAAAGTCCTACTAATTCAAAAACAGCCTATGCAAGCAAGCACAGACACAAAAGACATAGAAAAAGAACTTTAGAACAGTATTCATGCATAGAGAGACGGTTATGTACCATGGCAGATACCATAGATGATGCCCGAAAAACAAAACACTGAAAATTGCCTCTCACACAATTGCATTTACTTCAATCCTATTAATTCGCCCCCAAATCCCACCAAGTTAAAATGAAAAAGGAACCGAATTGCTAAATGGCATGATAAAAACCTGTCGCCCCAAGAAACCCATTTTCTTGGCCAATTCATGTCAGGAAACTAAGCTCAAAACAAAATGTCACTGAGTCAATGCCCATTACAAATCTACAAAACAGGTTTTTATCAAGCAAACTTACTTTCATAAGCTTGTTTGTACATATCCACCAAACGAGAACCAATTCCTTTTCTGTAGTATTCCCAATCAATGGGTTCAGGTTCCTGCACCACATTTTGAATGAATAATTACCCAAAAATAATCACATTTCGGAGCAATTCATCATCAATCAATGTAAACAACCAAGATTCGAATTTTCCCATACGCAAAAACTCATTTTGCAACGTGGAAAAAGTTACAATTTTTTTGGCAAAATTAATAGAGATACGAAAACTAAAGCTGCACCAGAAAATCAATACCAAACGGCAGGCACATCCCTAATCAGGCCACCAGACAACATAGAAATGCTCGATTCGCCGTCAAAATCAAGCTGAAAGGAAAAATTAAGATCTAATAAAAAAAAAAAAAGGATCTAGATAGAGGGGGAAAACCTGGCTGAACTTGGTCTGGAGGGTGGAGTTAACCTCATCGAAAGCGCGGCGAAGATTCGCGAACTCTTTCCTAGCTTCATCGGAGACCAAGAGCTTGGCCATGCCTTCCCAATCGATGTTTTTGGATGCTTTGAATGCTACATCGGTTACTTTCTTCACCGTTCCGCTCATTTTCTCTCACTTTCTCGCTTCCCAAACACTACAGAAACTCTGTTGAGGCTGCTTTTGCTATGCTAGGGGAAATCACAAGGGAGAGACAAAGGTGGTCAAAATGGGAAATGGACTTTGTTCCTTGGGCTTGGGCTCAAAATGTTTTGGGCTCTTTGAATTGTATTGGTTTTCTTCACCTAAAAAAGGTAGTCTTGGGCTTTGCCTAACAGACCATCTCGGCATATTCTATTTCTCCAACAACTTCTGGCCCATTAGTTCTAAATATCAAAGCCCAAGTTCCATTTAACGGCGCCATATTCTCAACTCTCAAGACCAACAACATTCTGAGTAAAGTCCGCAATTATTTTTTAAATGTGTAATAAAAAGAGGGTGTTTTGCAGTGTATGCTGCATAATTTTAATTATTAAATAAAAATAAATTTCTTAGATGTTAAGAGTTGTCCATTTAATGATTTATGTTATTGTACTAATGATTTGTTAATCTGTATAGAAAAAATTTGATTTTTTTAAAGTAAAATTTTATAAATAGAAAAATATTTTTTTTTCTTATATGATTTGACGTGATTTTGTTTTAAATTAATTAAAATTTAATATAAATTTTTTATGCTAAAAAATTAATAAAAAATTATATATATTTTTTATTTTAATGTAATTCAATTTGCGAAACAAAATATTGCATGGGCAAAGGATGGGGCTCCATGTATAATTTGTTGTCTTACATTGGAGGTTGTTAGTTGCTTAGAATATAGATGCTAGAACGATTGACCCTCCCAACCCGAACTATAAATTGGGAAAATTCAATGAGTAGAAAAATGAGTTTCTTCGTAATTAAGTTTAGGCGTTTTTTGCGTGGAAAACATACAAAAATACAAAAAATGCAAATGAGAAAAATAACTAAGAAAATGGAATCATAGTAATAATGTTTAGCACGTG